GGAACCCCGGTCGAGTGGGCTCGGGAAATTGTCGACCGACCACATGTCGTGCTTTATGGCCACACGTGTCCATTTTGTGGCCACCACGTTGCCTTTTTGTGTGCACGATATACCATTTTGTAGCCGCAACGAAAAAAGTCTGCCACTTTGTAGCTTCCTTGCCCTTTTCTATTCTGGGGATGTGTAATCAGAAAGATTCCCTTCCTGCTTTCCTCCCTTAATAAACCTTGGCTCTGACGGATGGACCTGGTCTTGGTTTTTGTTTTGTGGCGTCATTTGTAAGGCCCGCCAACCAGCTGAACAAACCTGCTCCCGGTAGAGCCCCGGGCGAGTCTTGTTCGCGTGTGTGTTTGGGTAGCAGGTACAACAGGTTGTGATCCACAACCTCGGTCGCGGGAAGCCATGCGGGACTTGACGTCAGCTCTCTGCTAATTCCCCCCCAGCTAAGAAGAACCCAGTTGGACCCAAACAAAAGATAAGTTCTGGCAAGTAGTTCCGTGTGTGTGTGTGTGTGTGTGTGTGTGTGTGTGTGTGTGTGTGTGTGTGTGTGTGTGTGTGTTCCAGGGAAAGACTCGCCCCGCGTTGTTTACTCACGCTGGACCGACCGGTTCTGGCGTCTTTGCTCAACGTATTAGCGACCGGTTTAGCTTAACGTCCGCAAAAAAAAAAAAAAAGAGACAAGACGAAAACGAAGGAGAAAACAACTGGAATCCCGACACCACGGAACTCATTCTTGCGGATGACGACCAACCATGTGAGCGCAACTTCGTCATCTTCGACATCAAACGAGGGACTCTGAGACGTCAAGCATCGAACCGGAAGTATGGACGTCTGTGGCCTTGGAGGGGGTCGACCTGTAACTTGGTAGAATGGACTCGTGGCTTTGCCTGACTTGACTTTGGAACCTGGACTTGGAGGATTCAAAAAGTGAACTTGAAGAACTATTGATTTGCTGGAGTGGACTTGTAGACCTTTTCTGGGAAAACTATCTACATACGTACGTGTGGTAGACAGGACGCGTGTCCTGGCATGAGTGTACTTACCCCGGATGAGGGATCCGCATCCTTGACGGTGGAGCACGGCGCATATTTCACAGCGTGCCCGAGCAGACTTGGTGGAGGTAAGACTTGAAGGAGTAGACTTGTAAACTTGCCGGCCCGGAACAATCGTCCGTCACCTTTGTGGGGTGAACTTGCAGACAAGATAGACATGGGAGTCTCGCAAGACTTAAAGGACACATGATGGACAACAACCGTCCACTTGGAAGATTGTAGCCCTTTCAGAGGGGGGGGGGGGCTTGGGGTTTTCGCATATTTCACAGCGTGCCCGAGCAGACTTGGTGGAGGTAAGACTTGAAGGAGTAGACTTGTAAACTTGCCGGCCCGGAACAATCGTCCGTCACCTTTGTGGGGTGAACTTGCAGACAAGATAGACATGGGAGTCTCGCAAGACTTAAAGGACACATGATGGACAACAACCGTCCACTTGGAAGATTGTAGCCCTTTCAGAGGGGGGGGGGGCTTGTGGACTTTGGCATGGAAGCCACGTTGACCCGGACTCGCAAGAGTGAACTTGCTGACGATGAGAAGTCGACTCGAGGCCAAGGACGAGTAGACGTGTACACCCGATGAAGTGGACTTGCAGACTCGATAGAACTGTAAAAGTGCCCCGAGCAGACTTGGCGGAGTGAACTCGTGTGAAAGATTGTAGACTCGGTGGAGTGGGCTGGAAGTCTCGATGGAGTCGGTAAAGTGGACTTAGAAAGACGGTGGGACTCGCGGCCCCCTTTTGTCGAGAGAACTTGTCGAGTTGCAACATTGACACTTGCTGACATCGAAAAATGTAGTCCTTCTCAAGTGCACTTGCGGACTTGAGAAGAAGCGAGCGGACTTTCCCGATTCGGTGGACAGCGTGGACCCCCGAGGTGTAAGACTTTGAGACTGAGAAGGTTGGACACCTGCCGGAAAGCGATGACATCCAGGGAGTCGGTGTGGTCGGACTTTTCTGCTCTGAAGGACAACGATCCTCCTCCTTACATCCATCCTCACTACAAGGAGACCTACCGTCTGGCCATCTACGCCTTGCTCTGCGGCGGCAAGGATGCCTACGACGACTTCCTCCAGGCCGAGCAGATCAACCACTTCCTGTCCGAGAAGGAGATCCGCTTCATCCTGGAGAGCGCCGAGCCCCCCCCGGCGGAGGACGACGACAACGACGACGTTGACGCGGAGGGGCGGCGCCCCGGAGGCAGGCCGGGCCCTTCCACCTACTTCCCGCAGGAGTCGGACGAGGAGGTGCCCGACCTGGACCTGGGCTGGCCCGAGACGGCCCCGGAGGACCAGGACACCAGCATCAGTTTACTCTTCCAGCCGCCCAGGGCCAACACGCCCACCATCAAGGAGGTGGTCCGTAAGCAGATCCAGGACGCCAAGCAGGTGAGGGCACCGGCTCCCTCTGTGGTTTAGATGACAGCGCTCGCGTGGTGGTGTCTAACGCGAGCGGGTTCGACAGAACAAAGTTCAACTTTTGAATTAGGACTGATCGAATTGCCGTAAAAAAAAGTTTCCGAAATCTTAATTGTTGAGTAATCAGTTCATTACATGTTTTTTCCTCATATCGACATCTCTTTCTTGGAGCCTGGGAACACATAATAAATGTTTAACAGACCGTTTATTACACA